TCTTGGAGGGCATTGCAAAACTACCCCGGTTCACCAAAACCATTGAACAAGCAAAGACATTGACTATATTCATTTATGCACATCATAAGACCTTATCCATGATGAGGTCTTACACTAAAAGGAGGGTCATAGTAAGACCCGGAGTCACACGATTCGCCTCTTCATTTCTTAGCTTGCAAAGCTTGATGGAAAAAAGGCACAATTAAGGGCAATGTTTACTAGCTCCGAGTGGGATGAGTGTAAATGGTCCAAGACGGTCAAGAGGAAAGCAAGTTACAACACCGTGATGTCTATTAGTTTTTGGAATGGTGTGACTTCTTTCTTGACTACTTTTGCTCCTTTGATGAAGGTGCTTCGCATAGTGGATGCCGATAAGAAGCCGTCGATGGGATTTTTGTATGGGGAGCTTATGCATGCCAAAGAGGATATAAAAAGTGTCTTGAACAATCTTGCCAAGAACTATGATCCCATCTTAGAAATCATTGACACGAAGATGATGGGTAGATTGGACACCCCATTGCACTTGATGGCATATCTACTAAATCCTTATTATCATTATAAGGACCCGAATCTCGTACTAGATCAAGTTGTTTCGGATGGAGTTTTTGATTGTCTTGATGTCATTTGTCAAGGTAACTTTGATTTGATGGATAAAATCATGAACGTCGAGTTGCCCATTTATAAGACAAAGGGAGGAGTCTTTGGGAAGCCAATTGCCGCAAAAGGTTGTGAAGTAAACGACGAGAAGTTTGATCCGGGTAAATATATATATATATATATATATATATATATTTTTATATCTTGCCTTGCCTCTTATGTGATGTCTTGAAATAATATATTTGTTTTTTAATTTTTATTAGTCTTATGCTTGTTTTTTAAGTTTAAATTGCTACACAATGATTATGCTTTCATATTAATTTCTCTCTTCTTTTTTTTTTCCATGCATAGCTACTTGGTGGTTAAATTATGGATGTGGAACGCCTAATTTGCAAAGAGTTGCCATAAGAATCTTGTCATTAACCACAAGCTCGTCCGGATGTGAAAGAAATTGGAGTACATTTGAAGGGGTTAGTTGGATATACTATTTTTTAATTGTTTTGTTAATTTTTTTCATTGTTATTATTTTTATTGTAATACTTATATTATAAATGTGGTTTTATTTATTTCTTAGATACATACAAAAAAAAGAAATCGGCTTGATGTTTCCCGCTTGAACAATCTAGTCTATGTCCAATTCAATTCTCGTTTATTGAACAAGCGCAAATGGAGGAAAGAAAAGGATGTGTTACTTGCTAGTGAGGCAAGTAAAGCTCGAGAGTGGATTATTCCGGGATTAGTAGACGAGGAAGATGAGGACGTTAATGGACTTGAAGTTGAGGATGGCACATCAAGAGTGAGAGAGCTTGAAGAAGAAGATTTTGAATCCGAGGAAGAGGAACAAGTTAATGAGAATGACATTGACTTTGAGTCGGATGAAGAGCGTGTATTGGAGAATTATGGAGAAGAAGAAGAAGATCCTCTTGTGCTTGGCTATTTAAATTAGATATTGGCTATTGTTGCTTATTAGTGTTTTGGACATTTGGTCATGTGTGTTGTTTTGAATCTTTGATACTTGGAGTTTCTTTTGAGATTGTGGTTATGTAATTATTATTTATTACTACTTAGTACTTAGTAGTTTTTATGTATTTATTTGGACTTGGAGTTTGTTTTGAGATTGTTTTAGACTTGGATTTTGTTTTTTGGATTGTGGTTAGTACAATATTACTAACTTGTCATGTGGGTTACGGGGTTGCTAATGTGGATTGCGTAATTGCTATCATGTTTTCAATTTTAAATTTTTTATGTGGATTGCTAATTGCTATCATGTTTTTAATTTTCAATTTTTCATTATAATACATTAATATTTTTAGGAAGTGAAAAAGAATAAACAAAAAATAATATATTTAATATTAATTTCTAGGCCCCGCCTAGGCGCTCTAGGCGCTAGGCGTTGGTCGGGCGCCTAGCGACTTCTAGAACACTGATTTTTGCAATAATTTACGAGTTTGGGGTTGGTGAGAAATAGTGAACAATACTAGAACCCTTTTTCGTGGTCTTAGCCCGCTTCTGTCTGAAAAGAGGCACGAACTTCCGCTTGGATTTCCGGTGGTAATTCATTCAAGACGGTAGGGTCAATCTCGTCACTTTTGTAACTCCATGCATCATTTGCATATGATGCAGGGTCGTATTGTCCCGAGTTGCATGCACTCAGGGTGTTCCCAGTCTGGTTTT